CTCTTATTGCGTTTAAGATATCTGATCAAGCACATTAGTTGATCCATAATCGTTTTTTTTTCTGCTAATAGTATGAGAAATTGTTTTCCTAACGATTGACAATTGAATGGCAGAGTGTGTTCGAGATTCTCGTAAATACTAATATATATATAGATAAATATTTTTTAGTTATTATATGAGATTTCGGAAATATAAGTTCACAACGTGTAGAATATCTCACTACATTACAATATTAATATTTATGGAATCGATATATTTGGGTTCATAAAAAATAAATCTATCTAATATTTTAAACAAAAACGAATATATGTAACTTCAATATAATTCTTGTTATTGTACCGAAAATTAAAAATCTTGTTACCATTTTTTTTTCAGTTTTTTATCTCTGTGATTGATATGGAGACAAAAATAGGAGATTGATTAGGATTTTCATTCCATATCATAAAAGAAAAAAAATCGGAAAAACAGAGGCATATAATTAAACAATAATTAATGAAAGTGTGTAAGTTACTATTTTTAGAGTGTAATTAATGAATTTGGCGGGAAGATTTTCTAAAAATGAATTAAGTTAATCCTTATTATATATTAATAGATTATATATTTTTTAAAATGTATAGTTCGGTCTGTTTGACAAACCGACCAAGAAGTTCGGTCGGTTAATATTCGATTAAATTGATAATTCGGTCGGTTTCAGTTTATGGCATAATATGGTTTATTTCGATTTTTCTAATTTGGTTCGGTCGGTCAACCGAACAGACCGATGCACACCCTTAAGAAAGAAGATTCGACGCAAGGCGAGTTATAATTAGTAAATATAAATTTTTTTAGTTTAATATAATTTTTTATTAACTTGCTCTCATTAAGAACAAATGAAATAATTACATTATATATCCGTTGTTTTGACATGACATGGATAATAGTTGATGTACCAAAGCCACAAATCAAGGTTCAACGGACTATATTTGTGCTCAGATCTTCTTGAGCTGCTACGAAATGACCTTCAAAAGAGTCGGGAGGGACTACGGCGCTAGCACTCCGATGCTCAAGTTAACACAGGGGAAGAAGATGATAGGTGCTATATAATCAAAGGATTGTATGTAGTGTATGTAAAGGGTAGAGTTGGATTTGGATGTACATCAATCCCTTTCATAGGGAAATACTTGCCCGAAATAGTCTGCTCAACTGCCCGCGGTCAGTCTGTCTAGTTGTCCAGGTTTATTCTTATTTGCTTAGTGTTTATCCCCATCCTAATTAATCATGTCCTAATAACAATTAAATTATTTCTTATCTTTATTAGATTCCTTCTTATCCTTTATAACTCAGTTAATGATGCTCATTAGGTCGTGATGATTCTTTAGGTCGTCTGGTTCCCATCTCGACCATCGAGGTCGAGCTGTCTTAGGCCTCTTAGTTGTCTAGGTCGTCCGAGGCACTCCAAGTTGTCTAAGGATCTTTAGGTCGTCCAAGGATCTTTAGGTTGTTCGGTTGATCTCAAAGTCCCTCACATGTTGGAGAATTCCATGAGACCTCTAGGTCGTTTTTGAGTAATAGTAGGGTTGTCAGAAAAACCCACCGGGTCGGGTTACCCGCGGGTAACCCGAAAAATCGGGTCGGGTATACCCGGTAGTGGCGTGTTTCGGGTCGTGCTTGGGTTTTATTTCTATACCCGCGGTCCGGGTCGGGTCGGGTCGGGTACGGGTTTAACAAAAAAACCCACTACCCGACCCGTTTACCCGACCCGTTTACCCGGTGGGTTTTTTTACCCGACCCGACTTTTTACCCGCCCGATTACCAGCACACCTAATAACTATAGATACAAATAAATATACAAAAAATACATATTCCAAAAATATTAATTTAGTAACTAAAATATTTTTAAATTTTTATATATATTGAAGAATGAAAATGGGGTATATTCATATAATTTGGACATAACTTTTTGTTACTTCTTCTATTTTTAT